GAGAGAGAGAGAGAGAGAGAGAGAGAGAGAGAGAGAGAAATAAAGAGAGAGAGAAAGAGAAAAAAGAAAGAAAGAAAGAAAGAAAGAGAGATTTTTTAACTTTCTCAACCACTTTGCCAGTGGAGAAAGTGGTAAAAGATGATTTTTGTGTTTGCGAGAATATTGATTTTCCCCATCTTCTACCTCGTAGAACACGCCGCTTAGAGATTTCCTATGATTATTATTGCTATGTTCCCAAAGCGGTGTATGCATGTCACTGTGGGCCCATGGGAAAGTGGATTAAATATAGAAGTTCCGTGAATGCTGGGCGGGATAGGAGGACTGATACAATTATCTTCGTTATTGGATAGACTGGATTTAGATCAAAGGTGTCTAAAATTGCAGCGATTACGTACCGTTATGTGATTGGTTTCCAGTTTGAGCCTCGTTTCCGTTTCGTTTTTTGAAATAAACGTGTGTGTCTTTTGTTGTTTGTTCCTGCGCCTTTTAACATTTTGTTTTTCATTTAGGTCTTTTCAATACGATCTGACTTTCCTCATCACGTCCTTCTCTTCCCTCCGTGTCGTCGTCTACGACTTCCTCCTCCTCCCCCCTGTCTTCCTCTCTGTCGATCTAGTCCTCGTCCATCCCTGGACAGCCTCCATCCTCTTCTGTTTATTTGTTTCTTGCACATACGCACAAAAACACCCGCATCCGCACAAACACATACACACACACACACACACAAACACACTCATACACACATACTCACACACAAACTCACACGCACACACAAATATGTACACACACATATACACACGCACACAAACACACACACACACACACACACACACACACACACACACACACACACACACACACACACACACACACACACAATATTTACGAATGTAATCGTTTTCAACCGTTCCTCATTTTCCATGCTTCTTGTATTTACCTCAACATACTTCGAATTCTCTCTCGCCTCACGTCCTCTTTCTTCTTCCTCCTCCTCCGTACTTCCTTATCGCGTGTGAATGGATGAGATCTCCAGCATCAACAATTGGAGCTTTTTATTCCCTAATACCTGCTAATCACCCCCCGGAATCTCCCACATCCTCTTCATTGAGATATATGCAAATGAGGTTCAGTAAGCGGCCATGTGGGTCTCTCTCGTAGCCCAACGATCAAAGCTGCTGGCGAAATCCCTGCGCCGTCATGACACGTTCCTCTCTTCTTGTGTAAAGTGTTAGACATTAATAAAGATGCTTCGTACAGTGTGTGAATGAAAAGTGGGCGATTCTTCATTAGTAGTCATAACAGGCCCGTGCGGTGTGGATGTTTGCCTTTCCTCTTTGATGTTGGGAATTCGGAGATGATTTTTGTCATATTTTATAGACTTCATCTCCTGGGCTCCCGATTGGGATGCGTTGATGCCGCTTTCCGTTTCTGGAGTACTCAAAGTGTCATTGGAACTGTGTAATAAATGACGAAATCATGCTTTTTACTGGCCAGATGTCGTATTTTAAAGGCTGATTGAACTTGAACATATTAATTTACTGATGTTGTGACCCTTTCGTTTTCTGACGCGATAAACTCTTTAAAAGTTTTTCCAACGTTTGTTTCTTCTGAAGTGCGCATGGTTTAAATTTGTGAGTTACAGTTTTACATGTGCTTGAAAAGTCCCCTAAAATGCTTGCATACCCATTCACGGGGAACGTATTTTTTTTCTAGTTGAAAATTGAAGAGATAACATGATTTTTCTTTCTGATCTACTAGAACTCTCTCTCCTTTCTCATACATCGTATTGCTCAGAGATAAAGATGCTAAGACAGTCACCGTGGATGATTCACCGGCATGCTCAACAGGAGAGAGAGAGAGAGAGAGAGAGAGAGAGAGAGAGAGA